GTAGGCGGCAAAAAGATCGAGGGCCAGGGGTAGACAGCACACGTTTGGGCTTAAGAACTGTGGAAATCTCCAGAGGAGGATGAGAGTGATATCGTGGTTGTCTTTTTGGACTAGGACAAACTGCATCACAGGCAGGCACAGTGCCCCTCCTCCACTGACGCTAGATTTCCGATGCGCACTGGGCCCATCCCTTTTCTATCAGAGCATTGTCGTCAATGTTTTTGTTTTATATGCTTTTACAGCACTCGACAAACTATAAACTTGTTTTACAGCTCAGCTTATAAAGTAAAATAATCGGGCTTTGGATGATGGTTTGATAAATAATCACACCCTTAGCTAGTATATTGTGATGTAGAAGATAACCATCTTGAAATGCGCCTGCAAATATGATTTTGTCGATGTCATATATTTCTAGTTGTTAAAATTTTGGGTGATTTTGATTAGCCTATGATTTATCCGCACTGATACCTCATTTTGCTACTTGTGCTCAAGTTCCACATCCATCATCGGAGGGGAGTGGTATGCCGGAGTGGCAAGTGAAATCAGATTCTTTCATGGTCTCAGGCAGGCTTCTTCACTCGTGTGGAGTTTTAAACTGATAAATTGCGGCGCATATTCTTACGAAGAATAACGTCTTGTACTAACTTTTGTCAGACCGGCCAACACTGGTTTCCCTATAACGTTTGCAAGAAACTTCCGGCATCCGTGCCTGCTACACAAGCATGCATGACCATGCGTGTAAGTTGAACGGCTAAAAATTTAGAGGGGTGGGGTCTTGTGAGTTAATTTTATAAGACTTTCACTAATTAGTTCCTAATTCTGCCCTCCGTCGGGAATCTGTTTGCTTTTGAGAGATAGAGGTAGAAACATTCCAGAAATAAGGTCGCACATCAGGTTCATAAAACGGGGTACACGGGGCTGTGTCAGGACATAACGATGGGCGTACCCTTAAAAATGCCGTACTTTCGGGTGTGTTGCCACGCCTACACTTAGGCTCACGGCGCGCCAGTCACCTACGCCTGATCCTACCCCTCTTGACTCCGTCCTGCCGATATCTCATGTGGGTGAAGAGCGAGTCTGACGTTCTATTTTTGTGAATTGTCGTCTGCGTCCTATTTGTATTTTCCTTCGTCGTCAGGGATAAAATATGCTCTTGATTACATGTAAAATCTTCACTAACAAGTTGTTTTGCATACGATTTGTAATAGGTCGTTTTGCCCATGAATGTCCACATTGTCTTTCTTTCAAAATACTTAGGAAATTACTGGCAAATTTTGCCCCTGTAAGCATTTACAGTTTTGTGCGCAACTGAAAAGCATCTGTTTTTAGTATTTTGGAGCTATTTTCATTCTCTGCATTTTTAAGGCTAACTTCATATTGCACTGCCGGGTGGTCGTGTAGATTCGAAGCTATCGTAGCGTAGCCATGACCGATCGGGTTACAGAACAGGTTCGTTCCGTTCGCCTTGGGGCTCAGTCTAGAACTCTCGAAGACATTGGCCAAGCGACCAGTAGTTATACAGAAACTCGGGGCTAGGGTTGCCATTTCTAGCAGCTTGTAATGTTAGAACAGGAGAGTACGATGCGCCTACAAAAGTAAATGTATCGTTCAATTTCAACCCCTTACGATAATAATCAACAGTCTGAGGATTTCGATATGCTTAACTCCTGATAACTTTGGTGATATCAGGTTATCTGATGGTATTTAATATGCACTCCTCCGAGCACATGACGATTTTTGGCGTCTGCACCAAACGTTGAAATGGCGTGAACCATATTCATGTGATGGCTCATCTCTAGTTCTGATTACGACGTCCTCTGTCTGGAGCATCTTCGATCCTCTATCTAACTGCTTGCAATCGCTTTCTCATATAACGTTGGCGTCATCCGCTCCCAGGACGCCTTCCAATTAGAAAAAAAAATGGTTTGATGTCAAGTAGACCCCAGCGTACATTGCAGGAGATTATAGCTCACAAAAGGTAACACGAAACAATGCAACATAAAATTAGCGACAAAAACAAAGGAGACTGAAATGATCATTTCTGACATATTGACCATCGTCAGCCATACCAAACTCCAGCTGATACGCCACCCAAAGCTCGAACCCGCGACCTGTTGGTTAGAAGTCCAATCCTCCAACCCACTGCGCAACAGACTCGTTTTCTTGTTGGTTTCAATAGAGGCCGATCGGTTAGGGGACTCACTCGTCCCATTCTACTTTGGGACTCATTCTCGGCAATACAACGAGCCCGTGGCTCAATGGTGCAGAATTGGAAGTCTGATCAACTGGCCGAGTGTTCGAGCCACCACCACCTGGGGTTAGGCTAGCTCATGAAGCCACTCCAGTCTCCCTTGTCTTTGTTTGTAATGCTCATCTGCCTTTTTGGTTGAAATTGAGCTTGAAGGCACCCGAGTATAAGCGTAATTGCGACCCACTATCTACCAAGGGGCCTCTTGTTCTGGTAAAGAATACTTGCCATTATAAGGGAGTATTTGAAAAGAAGAAATATACGATCGCTGGGACAAGATTTTTTTCGACTGACGTTTCGACGTCCGTCGCGGATTCTTCATCAGGGACATTAGTAGAAACGGCTACTTCATGCATAGGGAGTTGCAGTATCTAAACTATAATCATTAGGATACTGCACACTTATAGCAATGAGCAACTCCCATATCGAGGATAATTATCCGTTTCTGTGCTAGTTGCTTGATGATCGGCGTTCGGGCCATGGCTTGCTGAACTTTGATCACATTGCTCGGCCATCCGGTTCCTCGGCTTTGGTGTTGGATGACACGCTGGCCCGTGCGTTCCCCAAGTGACAATTTGCTTTGGCCAAATTGAGCCTCAACACAGAATATGGATTTGGCAGGTCGTTGCACTTATTGATAGACTAAGGGCCCGTGAAATATGACTTAAGTGCTCCGCGGCTCACACGATTTTCACCTCTCTCGGGAATTTCGGCCTCACCAACTTTGAATGTGCGACCGGATCTCTTCGAATGAGCCGCAACTTCAGAATTAGCATAATTTCACCGCACTGTTGCCACATGTTCGGCAATTCGCGCTTTGAGAAGTCTGCCAGTTTCGCCGACATAGTTGCTTTGTCTGCTACTGCATCAGATCCTATAGACGACTCCCAATGTGTTATACCGTGGCGGTGGGTCTTTTGGTTTCATTATTTGACGTGTTATGGTCGCCGCCGGCCTGTGTGCGACTCCAACTCCAAATGGTGCGAGTAGGTCGACGGCCTTCGTGGCGTTTTTGACATATGGGATCGCTCCCCAAATGTTGGGGTTGGTGCGATCTTGTTGGCCATCGCTTTTGCGCAAGCACCGGTTCACGAAGTATTCAGGAAAACGACAAACGCGATGCAAATACTGAATCACAACAGCAGTTAATCAGTCAAAAACGCAGTTGCGTAAGGACGCTCTACCGGCGTGTTGAGACGCACTGTTGCGAACCGGAAGAAAAAGTTGCCGAAGTACAATACCTTCGAGGGATGTTCACAGAAAATGGCTACCCGCGCAACTTCGTCAACCGGTGCTTGCGCAAAGGAGATGGCCAACAAAGTCGCACGGACCCCAAAATGTGGCGAGCGATCCCATACGTCAGAAACATCTCGGAGACCGTCGGCTGCCTTCTCGCACCACTTGGAGTTGTAGTCGCACACAGGCCGTAGACCACCATAAAGCGTCAAATAATGAAACCAAAAGACCCACCACTACGACATAAACATCTGGAATCATCAATAGGATTTAGTGCAGTTGCAGACAAAGCAACTATGTCGGAGAAACTCGCAGACTTCTTAGGACGCGAATTGCCCAACACGCGGCAGCAGTGCGGCGAAATGATGCCAATTCTTCGACTCCGAGTGGTGCGAGGAGGCTGCTGCGCCCATGCAGCAGTCATGAGTAGTTGGACACTATTCAGCGTTGTGATTTATTGGACTGGCAATTTACGTTGGAATAAGTGAACTACATCAAAACCGTACCAAAAGACTGGATTGACGCTGTCGGACAAGTTAGGGAAGAGGGGAGAGTCTAGGTGAGAGGGGTTGTGGTGAAAGCCGACTCCGAACGCATATGCAGTATGGATTCCGTCACAACTGTAAATTCATCTATGCGTATTTGGTCATTAATGTACACGATCTCCAACCATTTCGCCCATCGAAGCCTCGTCGTTCCCACGAGATGCTTATGTAGCAGTCCCAACAAGGGACTGTCATCTCATGCTGACTTATGGATTTTACTCTAGGCTACCCTTTCTCAGTCACCTTGGACGGGTGCGTTGCTCAGTTGCTCAGCAGTCGTTCTCCTAAATCCGCAGATACCCTGTTTAT